ATCAGCTGCTAATTTTTTGAATTTTCAACAACTTTTTTTTTTTTCTGTATTCTTGTAATGTTAATAAATAACTTATAAAAAAAATGGATAATAAAAATATTGATTACCTTTTTTTACGGCACTTCAAAAAATTACCTGAAATTCATGCTTCTAGACTAGAATACCCCCTTAATACTTATATAGTTAAGACAAATAAACAGTTACAATTGAACACATAAGATGTAAGAGACTCAGCGATTGGAATACTTCCAAATTAAATTAGAATTCTCTTATAATTCTTTCAAAAAAATCCAGTTAAAAAATCTCGTTCAAAAATAACATAACTAATTTGCTTAATTAATATTTATGCACTCTATTCAAAAGTACATTAATTTAAATTAGCAATAAACAATTGATTGACATAAGCGTAAATTTGAATCAAATTAAACTTTGCAAGCGATAAATCTGGTTAGAGTTTCATAATATAAATTATAGACATTTAGTTCTGAAACTCCGAACCCAGCTAACTACCTGTCTAATGCAATTCACATTTCCCTAAAATTATGAACTAAAATATGCCAATAGCCTAATATAATGTTTTCGAATTACGATATTTTTTCATTTGTATATATTTATTTTCATTATTTATAAGACTACAAAAATAAGTTTTTTGAAAACAAATTGCAATTTGCATTCATGAATGAAAAAAATATTTCCATAATAAATTTTTTACTGTTTGCAATGCTATCATAGGATTTGATTAATATTTTGATTTATCTAAACAAAAAACATGAATGCAAAATGAATGTTTTGCAGAGCGAAACTTGAAATGTTACTATTGCGCAACAACAATTGAACTTGCGTGTATGCATACGATTTGTTAGGTTCTTCTCTGGTTGAGAAGATACTAATGTTATGTTTTTCATGTATGCAATTATTATAAGAACAAGCTCTTATAAAAAATTATATAGATGTATTCAGACGCCGATAAAGAATGAGGTAACGAATAATCAAAGCATTAAATACCTTGATTTTCGAGTTTTTTTTGTATTACATACACCAGCCAAGATCTATTACTAATAAAAACCTCGTACTTTGTTCAAGAACTTTTTTTCATGCTATAATTAATTTATAAAACCAACTATCTTGGTTGTAACTAAGTTATATCCCATTTTAATAAATAGTATCGATATCTTTGAGTATCAGTTAATCACTGAATTCGCTGTTTAATTGATTAATTTTTTTAAATTTATTATTGGTAAAAAAACGTTCAATTTATCGAAGGGTCAAAAAATTACGATTCAAATTTATAATAGAAAAATTATCTGAAATTACACTCATTTATATGAATATAAAATTATTAATCCTGTATCGCATAAAGTATAAATAAACTATTCCACAAAATTTTGTTATTAGAAAAGATAATTAAATAAATTACATAGCTGATATTTAATAGAGATAATATCATGGTAAACTTCCAATGAAATTAACTACAAAGATTTATTCTATCGCAAGAGAATTATGTTGAGTTAGTATTATGCTTCCACGGCAGGTCACAACGCTTCGTAATTTTCGATGCAACGCGTTTCAAGTGCTTGCGCAAATTGAGGAATTCGATGACATATTTGACTATATCCATGAGAACGTACTTTGATATTCCAAAACAAAGCACTAGAGTGTTATATATAGTTGTTGGAGTGATATTAGTATAGTCATGGCTCTCCCATTCTCTATCCAATCTACTGAACAAGACGTGTAATCCTCCATATAGTCCACTGTTCTTACATTACATTATTGTTATGTAATATACTTCACGAAATACTACTTAGTGCATTGCGGTTAAACGTGATTAATGTCTAAGCTAGGATTTCTTCAAGTTCTTTTTTTACAATGATTTTACGTTGTTGTCAATTGATTATTTTTATTTTTTTTTTTATTGTAATAGTCTGGAATTATGTAATGAAGTAGAAACAATTATTTGGAAATCATGAAATTATAGTAGCGTTTTTTTTTTTATGATTTTTTCCTTTTAACTTATTCTACAAAGTAATTATGATCCCAAAATTTCATTATTTTTTTTTTTATTAGATGTGTAATGTTAAATAAATTATAATTTCAAATTCGATTTTATAATAGCAATTCACAATTTTTATTGTACCTTTTAAATGTTAAACACGCATGATTTTAATTCATTTATCGAGCTTATAATCGTAATTTTATACACAATAATTTCTACTAGCTCTTTTTCCTAAACTTTCCTAAAAATCATTTTTAATAACGTGTTCTTAATCTAATATGATGAATATCTCAAATTATTTTGAAGCTTATATGCATTGTATGCAGAAAAAACTTTTTTGCTTACTTTTATAGATTAACAAATATTTCAACGCAATTAAAAATGTTTTTTTTTTTTAAACCAAACGTAAATGTTTTAATACAAATGAATAATTTATCTATTTAATTAGTAGTTATAGAAATTTTTTACCCAGTACAATATAGATAATGAATATTTAAATGATAATTTTTTTAGTTCCCTAGTTGCCATTAAGTTTATAATGACGTCAAAGAATTTTTTAGACATTTCGAATCTTATTAACCTTGATTTTAATAGTTTTATTTTGGTTTATAGTTCAGAAAAATGTATTAAAAAAAAAACGAGTTTGTTAACTCAGCGGATAAAACTGCTTTGATCACTAGTCACGTTTAAAAGATCATTGCATAATGATAAAAACATTTATATCATTTATATCCATATCTTTAAGCACCCAAAAATTAAATATCTTGACTTTTTAGGTTTTCGAATAAAAAAATTACATATTAAAGTTACTAAGTACTATACTACAATGTTTTTTCACTGTTACATGGAATTATAAAAATATTTTTCTTCTATGAATTTTTAAATTTCTTGAAATTATTACAAACTACATAAATGATATTTTTAACAATTCTTCAAAATGGTGATCGTAATTTTTTTGAATTGTTGTCCTTCAAAAAGGTTAAAAAAATCCAGGAATGCAAGCCTCATAACGCTCATTCAATTTTTAATAAAGAATAAATTGTATTGCTGACTTTTGAAGTAAAACAGAAAAAAAAGTTAATTATTCAATGTACATGACTGTCATATGCATTCAAAAAATTATTAACTGATGACTAAATAAATTTTCCGTTAAAATTATTGTCAGAATTAGATAAACGTCTTCTGAATTTCAATATATATTTGAATTTATTCGATGATGTCATCATTTATCAGAAAGTAATTTGTAAAAACTAAATGACTACTGTTTGATACTAAACATTATAAGTAGAGAGAGAAGTATGTATATCAGCATGCATGTGTGATAACGTGAGTCAACCGCATATTTATACTTTCATATAGTAATATGTTATGTTTCATTGCAAAAAAAAAACTGATGTTTGCTTTAGTCATCGTTTCATCATATTCATAGTTATGAAAACAAACAGCAACGTTTATGGTTCAATTTTAACTAAAAGTAAAAACGGATTCTTTAAATGTGAAAATTCATTTATGTTAATTACGAGAATTTAAGTTTTCACCGGCGTAATTAATTACATCCGCAACAGGTAGAATTCTTCATTATAATTATGTTTGTTTATATACATATATATTTTTTTTTCTTAATGTTCGCTGATATTTTCGATTTAGCATTGAATATATTATCAGAATTAATTATTATATTATCAAAATAAATTAAAATTTTTAATATTAAATTTTCTTATTTCACTTTATATGCAAAACCAGATAAAATTTCAAGCAATAATTTTAAACAAAATTTCGTAATAATTACAAACAATAAGAATTCTCTTGTAATACAATTTTTGATGAAACTCAAAATTTTAATGAATTTATTAAAATTTACAGAAACCATGTTGACTGATATGGAACAGATGCCCTCCTTAAAACTTGGAGATTTCGTATTACAATTTGAGCTTGGGCCACCAACACCAGAAATCCAAGAGGTTGCTAAAAAAGAATTACGAGAAACACCAGAAGTTCAAAAGAAAGCAGTGGAAGAATTGAAAGAGTTATTAAAAAGTAAAAATGAATTGTTTTTTATAAATTTATACATTTAATTCTATTTAATAATGTAATTGAATATTCAAAGAATAATCCGTTTTTAAAAATTTTTTTTTGTTTTTATAGAAGATACGGATCTTAAATGTCCGCTACACAATGAATCTTGGCTCATAAGATTCTTGAGACCATGTAAATATTACCCTGAGTCAGCTCACAAACTCGTCCGTGAATATTATTCATTCAAAGTGAAACATGCGAATGTATATGAGGGTCTAAAACCGAGCAATGAAAAAAATATTTTTGAGCACAATATTTTAACTGTTCTCCCTAATCGTGATCAAAACGGACGAAGAATATTAATCATTGAGCTCGGAAAAAAATGGAAGCATAACAAAGTATCCTTAGATGAAGTATTCAAAGGATGTGTACTATACTTAGAAGCAGCCATGCTGGAGCCAACTTCACAAATAGCCGGTGCGGTAGTGATATTTGATATGGATGGGCTGAGTTTACAACAAACTTGGCAATTTACTCCGCCGTTTGCTAAAAGAATTGTTGATTGGCTTCAAGACGCCGTTCCATTAAGAATTAAGAACATTCATATTATCAACCAACCATACGTTTTTAACATGGTATTTGCATTGTTTAAACCTTTTCTTAGACAAAAGCTAAAGGACAGAGTAAGTTATTCTTTTAATATTGACTTACTATTCACCTGACTTATTATAAATTTTACTAAAAATTTTTTAATGAATATTTTTATAGATTATTTTCCACGGTACTGACCGCAAATCTTTGCATAAATATTTGTCACCAAAATGCTTACCCGAATGCTATGGTGGAACTCTTTCCATTCCTAGAGTTACAGGAGCACAGTGGCTCGAATTACTATTAATGTGTGATCAAGAATATGAAGGTAATAATGACTACAAGTTTCAAACTCGAAATACTGTTAATTTAGAATACTATTTATGATCATTTTTTTTTTGCACCGAAGAAAAAACTATTTCCATTTAAGAGTGATAATCTTGATCCAAGGACATTATTTTAGATACAATCGGTTTTTCTTTTTCACAATTTTCTTGGCTTAAATCTTATCATTTTTGTTTAAGCTAGAGAATAATATATTCGATCGATAACTATTATCACCTAATTTAAGAGTATGCATTGAAAAAAATCGAAAGTGAATTCAGAGTGTGAGTGTTTTCAGTCTAACTTTCAAAAATCAATTTTTTATAAAATCTTGACGTTTTAAAGTCCTTAAAATCTATTTTAAACATTTGATTATATTTCCCCTTTTGACTTAGAAAATTTTTTTTTCTTAAAGTGAAAAAGGCGTATACGGAAAAAAAATTATGGGAACTATTCCTATACCATTATGGGAACCATTTCCATAATAGTATAGGAATGGTTCCCACAATATATAGGTTTAAATCTTACGTGGAAAAAAAAATTGGGGCTGCCACATGATACATTCCTGTGGAAGATTCATGTGGCAGGCAATAATGGTTAAAACAACTATAATAATTAAATAATAATAATAATAATAATAATAATAATAATTTATATTATTAAGAGAATAAGAACAATTTTGTCTCCTGGATAGTCACATGATGGAATCGATTTTGTTAGTGAAATTAAGTGTCATTGCAAAGGACATGACTTAAATTTGTGCCTTTTCAAGGTACATATCATTCTCGTCGATAGTCAATTTATGATGACAGATATTTAGGTTGCATTCGAAAATGCTCTATCTCTAGATACAAAATTAAGAAATGACCTTGTATCTTGTGAACTATTGACATTTTTAAAGATATAAGCTCACATTAATGTTATACTCATAGAGACCTTTCATTTGAGTACCCACATCATTTTTTCATATATTTTATATATATTATTTATATGTATAAATGAAAAATATATCAGAAATGCATGTGGGTACTCAAATGAAAGCTCTTGATGAGTATAACATCAGGATGAGCTTATATCTTTAAAAATGTCAATAATTAAGAAATGACCTTATATCTTGTGAACTATTGACATATTTAAGGATATAAGCTCATCCCAATATTACACTCATCGAGACCTTTCATTTAATTACCCACATCAATTTTTCATATATTTTATATATTTATATATATTATATATTATATATATGTATATATGAAAAATATATCAAAAATGCATGTGGGTACTCAAATGAAAGCTCTTGATGAGTGTAACATCGGGATGAGCTTATATCTTCAAAAATGTCAATAGTTTACCAGATACAAGGTCATTTCTTCATTATGTATCTAGACACAGAGCATTTTCGAATGTAGCCTAAATTCTTATTATAATAAATTGACTATTGGTGAGAATGATATGAAACCTTGAAAAGGCACAACTTCAAGCAAAAACTCATTTTATCACATAAATACACTGGCCACAAAATTTTCCTTATTCTCTTAATAATATAGATTATTATTATTATTTCATTATTATTGTTGTTTTAACTATTATTGCCTACAACATGAAAATCATGTGGCTGCTCCAATTTTTTTTCCGTATATATATTGTAGGAACCATTTCGAACTCACTCCGCACGAAGATTTTATCTTTATTTTATTTTGAGAATAATTCCCATAATGGTATAGGAATGATTCCTATAATATTCTAGGAATCTTTCCTATACCATTATGGGAATAGTTCCCATAATGATATAGGAATCATTACTATATCATTATGGGAATATTTTCCATAATATTATGGGAATGGTTCCTATAATGGTTTAGGAATCATTCCTATAATTATAGAAACCATTCCCATTATTATGGGAAAATTTGCCATAATTCTGGGAAAATTTCCTATAATTATGGGAACAGTTCCCATAATTCATGGGAACAGTTCCTATAATTACCTGGGAACTGTTCCTATAAAATTATGGAAATAGTTCCCATATTTTTCTTTCCGTGTATGTTGACAAATTTTTTTTTTTTGCACTCTTTACCCAAATTATTACTTTTTTACATTCTCAACTTGGTTGGATAAAGAAAATTTTTTCAAATGCCTTTTTTTTCTGCGGAGCCAAAAAGGCGTATATTTTTAAATATGTCTTTTTGGTATTGGTAGCATGATATAAGTTAAATTTGTCTCGGAGTGAATTTTACCTTCGAAGGGAATAAACCAACAAAACACCATCCACTCTCAAATCACTCTGAAAATTTTTTTCAGAATTATCTGCAATCAATACAATCTAATTTTTTATCGAAGAAAAATTATTTTCAAATAAAAACAATTTTATTTTCTTCTTAGAATCTTATGTTTTTGGTTCAAGAACAAGTTTTTTCATTAAAATTAACTAACAAAAATTTTTTTAAAAAATTATTAACAATAATATCTACTTACTTATGCAAAGTTATAAACAATTTATTCATTTACGCTGTAAACAGAAAAACTGTTGATATTTTTAACATGTATGTGAGATATATAGACAGCCAACTTTTCATTTGATTCAATAGTATTATTTTAAAAAAGTGAACTCATAATACAATTATTATTAATTACTTTTTTTTTTCTTTTCCAGCAATCAATTCATATGGTTTCAATAAAAATTGATGCGGATGTAGGAGAAATTTTAATAGAATTAAAAAAAAAGTGGACACCGAAAGGGTTTATGTTAAATCAAATATATATCTGTGAAAAAATGAAAGTATGGAAAATTATCAATACTCAACAGACCATAAAGAGTTTTTGATACAATAACTATTCGTCCTATCGAGTAACACAAAAATATTAATTTCGAAGAACAATGTTTTAAATTTAGTATCTGATGAATTCAGTTTTAAGAAATTATACGTGATCTGTAAATTTTTATCATATAAAATAATTTCAAATGTATTAATAGCTCTCTGAAAATTAGTTTTATAACATGAAGGGATGTGCAGGCACAAACTTTTTTTTATCAACGAATGTTTATGTTGTGTAAAATCAATTTTAGATGTATTTCTAAAAAATATTTGATATATATTAATATCTTTTTTGAATGTGATGTGCTAGTGAAAGATGTAATGTACACACATTATGATTATAATAATTGATTTATTTTTTGAGTGAATGTAATAAATAAAAAATATAGAAAGACCAGGAAAAAGGTGGCTGTAGTTTTAATTACTATTAACTGACATATACGATATAATAGTTATGTAGTACTGAAAAGAGATGAAGGAGTATAAGATATTTAGTGAAAAATAAGCAAAAATCAAGATTGTACTTATACCGCAAGAATACTTAATAAAATTGTTATTTATGAATAATTGTTAACTATGAAAATCAAATAGCTTGACGAGAATGTTACTTTTTCTTCGGATACCCAAGTTTCGCTGCCTCTGAAAATTATGTATTTAATTAGTTTTTTTGTAACTACATAAATATTTCAAATATATTCAATATTAAATTTAAAAATAGTATTACCTTCGAATTCTTCTTGAAAATTGCAATAATATTCCCATACCGGCTTTCCAAGTGGTTGAATTGGCACATCCAAGTCTCCTCCCATATACTTTGGTACAGCTTTGCGATCAACCAATTTTAACAGCGATTCTTTGTCTGCACCATGAAAGTGTATTCTTTTACGCAGTTTTTCCTTAATTGATTAATAAAGCAAAATTTTAATAATTATACAATCCTATGTATTATGATAGGGTTAGCCGACCCTTACGGATATTTTGCACAATATTGATGGAGCTTGATCAAATATAACCTTGAACACACACACACACACACACACACACACACACACACACACACACACACACACACACACACACTGGTGAAAATTCGATTTTCGAAAAACGGAGTAAAACCAATAACTTCTCGATTTTTGAAAATTTTCAATTTTCTTAGTGGAAACTTAATAGTATATTACACTACAAGAGCAGAAAGTTTGAGATTCCTGCACTGCGCGCCATATGCCCGAGGCGAAGCCGAGGGCATCATGGCACGCAGTTCAGGGTTCTCAAATTTCTGCCCATGTAGTGTATACTAGTTTTCTTACTATGCGGTCGAAAGTACGTTAAAAATTGCATTGAAAAAAATTGATGCCTGCCCCCGACATTTGCGGCACGAGCGAAGCGAGTGCTGCTGGTCGGGGAGGCAGGCATCAAATACACCTGTCAAGAAAGATTTTAATATATAATTTATCGTATTACTACTTCCTTTTGAGAAAAGATAGTAATTTAACTGAATAAATTTAACGTGTTATAAATGTATCATAAATTAACTATGATTTTAAGAATAAAATAAAAACAAAAAAATGAAATAATAATCGTAAAATACATATCTAGAAAAAAAAATTAAGACAAAAATCTGTTTGTATATTTTTTCAAATAATTATTTGTTCACCAATAGATTTATTTATTTGAGAATATCGATCAGAATAAAGAATATTCCTCGTTTTTTTTTTTTTGTAATTTAAATATTTAACAAGTCTTATTTCATTAAAATAAAATGACAAAGTTAGCAGTACCTTAATCATTTCTTAATTTTTTTTATCAAATAAATAGAAAAAAAATGGTTTTTAAAAAATTGCATTTTTAATTTTTTAAAATTTCTACACGTCAATTTTTTTTCTAATTTTTTTTGCACTAATTTATTTTTTTTTAAATTCTAAAATTTATTAAATATCTGCTACTTTAATTTTCATTAAAATAAATATATTCATTTTCTGTAATTAACTCAGTTTCAACCTCAAATCATTGACACATAACAAGACAGATACATTCATAACAATCACAAGTAAGATTAGGCTTGTAAACATAAGTAATAGAGTGAGCGCGACGACCGACTTTCGGACTTTCTGCCGCCTCATGTCTCGTTGTCAGTGCATGAATACATTTTTTCGGCTCCCCGTCATAGAGCGCATGTGCGACTCAACCACGGCATAAATGTGAGGCTTTCTGCAGTGAAATCGCAGCGGGAACCCCGTACTTTCGACCAGCATAGTAATGAAAAAGTTTTAGACAACTTCTATTGTACATTCATAAAGTTTTATTTGTTTCTATTGATTCGCGTTTTTTAAAATATTTTTTTTTTCATAATAATAAAGTATTTTATTTATTACACTTCTCAACAAGCTTACATTTTTTTATTTTTGAAATAATTTATGTTTTAACACCCTTATAAAATTTGAAGATCAAAATTTTAAGATAAAAATTTCAATCATTGATTCACGACAAATTGTAATATCATTTTAAATAGACCGATAATAATTTTTAATGTTTGAATTTTCATATCTTCACAGTTTTAAGAAATGATTTCTTAAATACAAAGAAATCTTCTTAAATGTTAAGAAATTCTACTATCAGTGAAGGGAAGAAAACGATTATTTCAGATCTTGCCAAAGGCTTAACCTGTCGGAGATTACCTACCTTATCTTTCGCACATACTTATCCAAAGTTACTTAATATTTGCCCCTTAAAGACCTGAAAGGAGGGGGTTTTAACCTCTTCTCTCCCTAATCGGCTGGTGCCGGGTAGCACGCTCCACCAAGGCCCATGAGTCCTTATAGTACCTACTCCGAACAAGCCGACAAGGACTTGTTCAGGTCGAGCCTTTGGCAAGATCTGAAATAATCTCTGTGCCTTTGGCTTGACCGGTTAAAAACCTATTGTGACCTGAAAAATTTCTTAACCTTTCCGAACTACTTGCAAACAAGAAATTTTATTACTTACATTTTTACTTTATTTTATTCATTTATTTATTCATTTTTTTTAAACCATTTTTAAACAAGTAATTAAAGTTTCATTTGATGAATTAACAATAGACTTACACACTATTAAAATTAGTCTAACAAATACTAAATTTATACTGAATCTCTTTTTAACATTTAAATTTGTACTTTAAATAATAATAATAATAATAATAATAATAATAATAATAATAATAATAATAATATAGAAATAAAATATACTTCGACCAGCCTTTTAATAGTCATACTGCACTAAATGTACTTAGTTCTAATTCCTTACTTTGTCCTGATTTAGGTCTCTAAACTTCCTTACAGTAAAATTTGAAGAAATTTACTTGTCTGCCAATTCCCCTGTTGAAGGATTTGATCTAACTCCATTCCCTGCTCAAACCGATGTGAAGCCACCGCCGATCTTATTGCTCTAGTATTAATAAACAGTTGATTCAAACCCAGCTTTGCCTTGCGTGTTTTTGCTGAAATCTTTATTAAGCGCTTCACCCAGAACACGACATCAAACACCTGCTGTTTCGTTCTTGACAGCTTCCATCCCGACTGTCTATATCGAACACTGTCCGTTTTCGAGCCGAACTTTGGCCAAAAAGTAATTGAGTTACGATTTGTCTCATACTTTTTTATCAATTGACAGAAGGGTCCAATCATGGATCCGTCTCCCTGAAGCCAATAACAGTAAGATAGCCGTATGCCTGGAAACCTGAAAAATACTGTGCTGGTCTGGTGGGTGGTTTTTTAACCATTCTATTAGCTCCTGAACATTCCACGCACTTGATTTTCGCGTGATTTTCGAAGCTTCTCTTATTCCAATCACTTAGAGGATTGATTTGACCAGTGGGTGTGCACTTAGTTGAAATTTCCCGTTTGGATCTGCCAGAGAACTAATTACTGACTTTTTCATCAAAATTGTACGGTATCAGAGTTTTTCTCGGTAGCTAAGAAACCCAGGTACGTCGCCAGGTGTTGACCCGTAGGTTGATTCGGTATTACATGGTTGTCCGAACACCATCGCGTCCACTGCTTCCACGCCAAGCCATACGATTTCCAGGTTGAGCCTCTCCATGCTGATGATACAAGGTCCACATCGGTGCTACATAGTCCTGACACTAGTCCTGCCCACCCCGTATCTGCCAGACCTATAAAAATATTTCCCTCACGCTTTGAGGTGGCTTCCCCGTTGCCAGGTCCACCAGCGAGTCCTCCAGATTCCACAACTCGAATGGCGCTGCCGTGCTTCGGTTTTTCAACTCGCTCCTCCAAAAGGTCTTCTCCCAGCGAGGCGCTACTACGAGGAATAGTCCCCTCGCTCTGCCCAGGTGGCTTAGGACTTCTGGGATCAAAGGAGGTGGAGGTAAGACCCAGGCTAGATTCACATTTCAATTTTTGCTGAAAGCGTTGATAAACTCTGCTTCGCAGTCGTTCGCTTCCAGCGTCACATATCTCGGGACGACTTTCGACCGGCTCGTGGCAAACAGATCTATCTGAGAGGTTCCTCACTTTTCGAATACTATCTGCGTCAAGCTCTCCTTCAGATGCCAGTCGGACAAAAGTAAACCCCTTGACAGTCTGTCCATCTAACAATTGTTAATTCCCAGAAGGTAGAATGGGTTCAACTGAATCTGCGACCGGTGACATAGAGTCAGGAGTTCCTTCACCAATCGTTGTAATCCTTTAGACCGCGTTCCATCCTGTTTTTTGATGTACACTACAACGGTCTTGTTGTCTGATTGTAGCATGACTGTCCTGTTTCGAACAATTATCTCGAATTCCCTGATGGCAATCAGGAATGTGTAGAGTTCCTACCAATTCACATGCTAAGGAATTTGCTCCTGTGTCCACTGACCCGCTCTCACTTGGTTGTCCAGGTGGAATCTTCATCCTTCTCCTGACGCGTCCGTTTACTGACTTTACTTTACTTTTATTAATAAAAATTATAAAAGTTAATACAAAATTAATCTCCAAAAATTAACTACTTTAATTTTTACTTAATTTATTCAGTCATTAGCTAACAAATAAATTATAAACTATTTCAACGATTAATAATTTATTTCTCAAGGATTCCGGGCTAAAACCCACGCATAAATTTATTCCATTTACCACGAGTTTATACTCAACGCTAAATAGAATTTCCGGAACATTCGACGGACAATTTATTCCAATTTAACTCGTAATTTAATTATTAATTATATAAAATATTCTTATAAAATTTCATCAATTAAATTTAACTACTTATAAATTCCAGGACTTAATATCTACGTTTGTTAAATTAAATTTTAAGGAATTTTTCCAAGATGATGAAATTAAAATTAATAATTGGATTTTCAGAATTTGATTCAATGTAAAAATAACCGTGTGGAATTTTCCGAATAAATAATTAATTAACAAATAATTTATCTCTCTATATAAAATAAATTACGAAAAATTATCCACGGGTATTTCAATCTTAAATTGTGCCGAAATTTCAATAAATAAATTTCAATAGTAAAAATCATTTTCCAATAAATAATATAATATAAATAATCATTTCATTGTAGTAAATTAAATAATGATAATTCAATTGTTGTAATTTTTGTAATAATAATTCAGTTGTTAAATTTTATAAATTACTGCGTAATATATTTGCCAGGAATTTGCGCGCTCAAAATAGACGCCGGCATTCGTAAGTGCGTAGTAATGCTTTGACCTCTGGTATGCGACCGACGCTTGACCGATCTGTGAGCTGACGATTGGAATTTTCTCGATCTTCAGAATTTAGGTTTTATTTTAATAAAGATAATTTTATCTACCCAATCTTTCGATATTAATAATTATTAATCGGCCAAATTAATAAATAATTCATCACGACTTCTAAAACCACAAGGTCTAGAACATTCCCCGGGTAGGCACCATAACCCGACTAGGAATTTTTATGTAAGACCTATTGTACAACCTCCTTTCATTCACATGCCTAATATTCAAACAAAAAAAAATTTTTTGAATCAGACTGAAGTAAATTATTGATTTTTTGTAGTCGTATTGTTGATGTAGATTTTTAATTTTGTCCTCAGGTTGCACAGAAGCGGCGAGCCGATCGAAATACCCTGAAAAAAGAATTTTAAAGATTAAACTGCGATGGGAATCGAACCTGGGTCGTCCGCGTGGAAGTCTCGAACATTAACAACTGCGCTGCAAGTCGTAGTTAACTGAGAGATTTTGATTCAGCTATTTGAATGATCAACAAATATTTTATTTCAATGTATACCACCAAACGGCGGTCGAACAAAATTTATTAAAAGTTGACAATTTTTAATTCGTCACAGCTGCGGTGCGGCAGTGGTTCGGCGAATTGATAAATTTTAACCTGTCACGGCGGTGGTGCGGCGATGCTTCGGCAGCCATAAAAAAATTCAAATGGTCACATTCATAGTGCGGTGGTGCTTCAGCGGCACTTCGGCGATTAAAATGCCGTGCAGCGGTGTTTCGGCGGTAGTGCAGCGAACCTACTTTTACTTAAACAGTAGCGGCTATGGTGCGGCGATTAAAATGCCGTGCAGCGGTGTTTTGGTGGTGATGCGGCTAAATTCTGTTTTTACTCGGGGACATCCATCTGAAAAATCCAAATATATATATTTCAGAGTTTGCTTTTTATAGGTTGTCTCAGCACCGAGACATTTCTCGACCCGTTGAGGTTGTATAGACATCCCTAGAGCCATTGCGGCTGCTTGACTTAGAGACGGTAGAGACAGTTCTTGAGCCATTACGGTTGCTTTATTAAAACATCGTCTCCTATCCACGGCTGCTTTACTTGGAGATAGTAGGGACACTTTTTGAGCTATTGCGGCTGCTTTCTTAGAACATTGTCTCCTTTCCGCGGCTGCATCGAGCCACGACGGCTCCCTGAGCCTATGGCTCGACTCGTTAAGCCTGCGGTTGCGTCTCCTCAGCTCTAATGATGGCTCCGCTTATGCAAACGGCTGCTGCTCACGAGCTTTTACGCCTGCGGCTGGTGACCTGCTGATACCTCTGTAACAAAACATTACTCATAACCAAACTTACCTCTTATCATTCACCTTCTCGTTTGCAAGTATAGATTAGATTATACACTTTTCGCGAACGGTACAACAACGTTTGAACTTGTATGCACTACTCAAAAAGTAATAGCGTACTAAGGACACACGGGTCTTGGTGGCGCGTGCTACCCGGCACCAGCTAATTGGGGAGAGAAGGGGTTAAAACCCCTTCTTTCCAGGGCTTAAGGGGGCCAATATTAAGCAACTTTGGATAAGTAGAAAGATAATTTTCTTCCCGTGTATATTATATTACTCGTATGAAATGTAATCAATTCAAAAGTTGTCATGCTAATTAAATAGAGTATCAATAGATGGTAACTTTGTTAGCTTTTTAAAATAGTTAAATCTATTGTAAACAGATAATGTTACACTTTTGAAGTGAAACTTCTTTAGGCGCATGAGGGTAAAATTTTTACAGATGAAACGTCACGCCGGTATGCAACGGAAGTGTCGGAAAAGAGAGAGAGAGTGATCGAGACCGATTGAGAGAGAGTAAGACAGGGCGAACGTAGCATGAGCAACTAGCCGTGGAGTGAGAGTAGGGAGCAAGCGAGTGAGAAAGATTGAGAGAAAAAGTGAGACAGAGCGAACGTCGTATCACGCATAGTGCTATGGAGTGTGAGGTGGGAGAGAGCTATAGTGAGAAAGATTGAACAAGAGAGAGAAAGAATACGGGATATCGAGAAAGAATACACGCCCTATTGGTTGTGTATTCGTTTACTAGTTAATTATTATACTAATAATTGTTTCTTTATTATTGAAGTAAAACTTCTTTATCGACGTATGAGAGAAATTTTATAGCAATATAAAAAAAAAACGTCACGTCACGCATAGTGCTATGGTGTGTGAGGTGGGAGAGAGCTATAGTGAGAAAGATTGAACAAGAGAGAGAGAGAGAATACGGGATATCGAGAAAGAATATACGCCCTATTGGTTGTGTATTCGTTTACTAGTTAATTATTATACTAATAATTGTTTCTTTATTATTGAAGTAAAACTTCTTTATCGACGTATGAGAGAAATTTTATAGCAATATATAAAAAATCGTCACGATTTTCGGTTACGCGCCATGTTGTTTGTTTCTATCGAAGCTTCGTATAGCGACGTAAAGAATTAATTTAGTAATTATTATTAATTCTAAAAACAATTAAAACAACAAATTAAATAATAATTTAAAAATCAAACAGTGTGTAAGTTATTAAATATCTGCTTTTAATTATTTTTACTATGTTATGACATAAGATTTGAATATTAATGTTTTTTATATAATTTTTATAAACTGATTAAATAATTTTTAGATTAAATAATGGCATAGTCTAAATAATGACAACAATGTTAATTATAATGCGATGAAATACAATAATTATCATAAGTGCAATGATAAAATGAATTACTCTTATTATCTGTATGCATGGTTATTATAATATTGAAATATCTTTAATTTAATATGGAAAAATTTTTTTTTCTTAAGCTTTATCTACCCAATTTCTATGAAGTTATAAATAGTAGAAAAATGATGTGTCATAAAGAAGTTTTACTTCTTACCTGTGTACTCTGATACACATACATATTTTTTTTTATAAAAATTTCTTTTCTTATAAGTTTTTAACGAAAAATTTTTTTAATATTCTATATATTTTTTGTCAATGCAGAAGAAAATATACTGTAAAATAGTATTTGAATTATTAAGATTGGTTAAAAATTCAAAGATCTAGCCGGAATACTAAAAACAATGTCTTTAAGAAATGAGATGTATGATGTTAATGATTAGTTGAGTAATTATAATAATAACGATATAAATAATATTTTACCGTCAAAAAAGGTTTGAACAGAGCGAAAACCATATTGAACAGAAAGGGATTATTGATAAAATGTATGCTCTTCACTCTGCCAGGAAAACATTTCTGTACCCATTCAAGCACTGCTTTTGCATAACTTGGTGTAAAACATATCGCATGAGATAAAGTTAATCCACCCAAATCAAACAATATACGGACTCCACAAATCTGGGGAAAAAAATTTTTAAATATTGGTAAATTACTCTTATAAAATCTCATTCTTCTTATTTAGTTACCTGAGTTGTAGGTTCAAAAACAGCGCATTCGCTAAGCAATTTCATGCCTCTCAAGATTTGAGTTAATGATATTTTACTTGGATCCCATCTAGTACCTCCTTGAAGTAGAAATAATCTACAGCCGTCACTAGTGCGTACTGGAAGTGGTGCAACTACTCCGGATGTTAATACGTCTCGATCATTCATTGGCGTTAAATCATCGTTATAAACAGGATACTTTTGATGGTAATGATAGAGATGTTTTATCTATCAATCATTTTATTGGGTTATTTGTAAGTTTTTGAAATTGTCAATATTTTACATGAAGTAATTTTGATTTATTGAAAGCAATGGTGCACGCGTATCACACATTGTATAATTAATAATTTTGCTATACTTGTTTACATTACAATCTACTGTACTTTCTCTTTTGATATAAGTCTTTAACAATATATTCTGTCGTTCGGACATATCGTTATAACTCTGTCTAACAGTAATTATTTATACCAGTTATCCTAAATCCTTATAAGGATATTGTTGCAAAAAGTTTGGATTTACAATGTAGCCATCAAACATTGTACCACAAAGCATCGATGATATGAGCAACGAATTTAAATTTACGTTATGCTCATATAGTTATTAAAAAAAAAATGTTATTGTTTTTTCATTTATTATTGCCTTATTATCAAACTATATCTACAATGTGTCACTATTTGTATTTTAGAGCTCTCTAATAATATCTACAATTTCATTATTATAAATCTGACAACCAATTTTTGTATAACTATGGGATAATAAAAAGAATCCAGTCTTGCACTGACACCCGTAGATGAAGGTTGTACCTAACGTCTGACGAGTGTGAAGTGTAGAGTATAGAAATTTAGTATACATACCATAAAAGTTAGTTATCGTGATATTACTTTAAATCTAATAGTGTTAATTACATCCAGTTAAACCTCTCTACAAGTGGATATCCTCCTGGAAACAGGAGAATCCAACAAGCCATGATGTCCCAAAACAACAGACAGTACGCGACCGTCGCAGAAACCGACATTTTCCCATCAAAAGAACATAATCATTGAATCAATCGACAAAGTCAAAATCGAAGACTATGCAAAAGCCATCGGAGATATTATTGGTGCCAAAGAAGTTCGTTTCATCTCTAGAATCTCTAACAACCGAGTTTGTATTTATGTGTCAACTAAGGAATTAGCAGATAATCTGATTGAAAAACAAAAAAATGTCGTAATCTCAGGTGTAACTCTAAAGATCAAACCACTGTTCACGCGCAACAAACGAATAATTATCTCAAACGTACATCCATTTATCCCTCATCAAGTGATTGAAAATGCCTTAATCAGTGAATACAAAATCCAACCTGTTTCTAAAATATCGTTCCTGAAAGCAGGCATTGACAAAACATCCTACGCACATTGTTACAGCTTACGTCGGCAAGTGTATATAAAACCAGAGGATATCGACTTAATGCCAGGCTCGTTCCAAGTGAACCACGATGGAGTGACCAACTGGATCTATTTATCCAGTGACTCAATTAAGTGCTTTATATGTAAAGAAGAAGGGCATCAAACAAAAAATTGTCCCCAAACTAATGCTGACACCTTCAAGGCCCCCAAAAACCCTCGCTCCTCAGTAACATCAATAGAATCTTCCCTTCCCCCTCCTCCCAACCAGCACACCTTCGATAGCAATAATACATTCCGAATCCTCCCTGCCAAACGTTCGCATTCCAATATAGAAACGTCAGCTTCAGGGTCATCCATCCAAACTAATATAGTACCGAATAAAAATAACAATGCAGTTAAGCAGATTAGTGAAAAAAGTAAAAGAACCAAAGCCGAGGAAAATATTAACAACAAAGATAAATTCGACCTGAATGAAGTAAAAGAAGAAATCAACAATAACACCTATAAATACCCTCTGACATACTTACAGTTTCTAAATTTCTTGGAAAGAGGGTATAAAGCCACAAACTTAGCAGCTATCGCTGATGAATTTAAAGTTGAACTCAGCAAAATATCAGTCATGATCAACCTAGTATACCCACTCATCTCTAGCCGAGGAACAAAAAATCGACTGAGTAGATTTAGGAAGAGAATACAAAGACCCGAAGAAATCATCACTGACTCAGAGGACTCCCAGAGTTTTTCCGAAGATAACATGGTAAATTAACAATGGCGAACAAAATAAATAAAGAATCTCATTGCACTACGAGCCATAAGATAGTACAATGGAATATAAATGGATTCTTTACCAGAATAGAACACCTAAAAATTCTACAAAACCAATTGAACCCTTCTATAATTTGTATCCAAGAAACAAACTTTAAAAACAATCAAATAGGAAAACTAAAAAACTACAACTGCTTTAACAAAAACCGCAATAACCCTACCCATGCCAACGGTGGAGTCACAATCTTCGTCAAAGACGAAATCCAAGTAAACGAAATAAGCGTATTATCAAACCTCGAAGTAATAGCAATCAAAGCTAAATTACAACCCGATATCAGCATTTGTAACATCTATCTCCCTAACAGCCAACCTATCCAAATCGAAGAAATAATGAATATAATCAGACAAATCCCCAAACCACTAATTCTAGTAGGGGATTTTAATAGTCATAACATACTATGGGGATCTAGGTACACAGACAAGAGAGGAACAACTATCGAGCAACTCTTAGATGATACAGAAATCATAATTCTTAACGATGGACAACCAACTTACTTCTCAGCAAGAACTGGACGCCAGAGCGCGATAGACCTATCATTCTGTAGCGCCACCTTAGCTAGTGATTTACTATGGTACCCACTCGACGACCTACACGATAGTGACCACTACCCAATAGTTATAGAATTCACAGGAAGTAATAATAAAAACCCAGAGAAAACCTACGAAAAAACCAATTGGAAATTCAAACAAGCTGATTGGATAGGTTACAGCAACAAGGCAGAAGAACTAATCAACAAACTACCAACTCCAACTGCAGAAATATCAATAGACACCATACTCAACAACCTCGTAGAAGCTATTATCAAAGCAGCGAACTTAAACATTCTTAAAACCCTCCCCCGACCCAAAGACAAAAAACTACCTTGGTGGAATCAAGACTGTAAACGAGTAATTCAGGAAAAAAAACACGCATTTAATCAATTTAAAAGACATCCAACTCTAGAAAATAAAATTAAATTCTCACATGCAAGCAGAGCTAAAGCAAAACAAACTATCAAAGACAGCTACAGAACTTCTTGGCAAAATCTTCTATCCTCCTTTAATCAACAAACAGCAACAAGCGAGTACTGGAAGTTCTTAAAACGATACCAAGGTAAAAAATCCTCATGGAACACTAAAGCTATCAATGATAAAGAAGGTAACCTAACTACAGATTCAGAAAAAATTGTCAATTTATTAGCCGAAACCTTTGCACAAAACTCTAGCGACAAGAATTACACTGAGAATTTTAGGAAATCCAAAAAATCTAACGAAAAAAAATTCAACTACGAAGATACAGAGAATGAAAACAACACTATAACCAACCAAATCAACAGTCTATTCACTATGCTTGAATTTAAAGAAGTTTTTAATGCTAGTAAAAACTCAGCTCCGGGACCAGACGATGTACACATAATGCTAATAAAAAAATTACCTAAAGCCGGGCTAGAATATATATTGCAACTGTACAACTTACATTTGGACAGCCCACGAATTCCCAAAGTTGTGGCAAAAAGCAATTGTAATTCCACTAGCTAAACCTAATAAAGATCATACAATAACCACTAATTACCGCCCCATATCACTAACTTGCAATATGGGCAAATTATTAGAAAAAAATGGTAAATCAGAGATTCAAATGGCAAATAGAAGAAAACAAATGGCTATCATCAGCACAATTCGGTTTTCGTCAAATGAAATCAACCAGCGACCACCTCAACCACCTACACAACGACATCAGCGAAGCATTTGCAAACAACCAGCAATGTTTAGTAGTTTCTTTAGATCTAGAAAAAGCATACGACATGGTATGGCGCCATCGAATCATAGAAATTCTCTTTCACTTAGGCTACAGAGAACACTTCTTATACTACATTACAAACTTCCTATCCAACCGTTATATCAAAGTACGACTAGGAAATCATTTTTTCGAACCAATAGAAATAACCAATGGAGTACCACAAGGCTCAGTCATTAGCGGCACTCTATTTCTAATCACCATAAATGAGATGATAATGACTATCCCTAGACCAATCAAGGTAAGAGGCTTTGCAGACGATCTTGCCCTCGTATGTACAGGAGAAATAACAACAATCTCTGAAATAATTCAAGAAGCACTAAATATTTTAACAGAATTCTGTCAGAAATCAGGATTTAAATTCTCTCCAACTAAATCTGAATTTATGATATTTACTAAAAGAGGTAAACCAAAAAAAAATATACAACTATACCTAAGTGACACTGAGATAAAACAAAACGACCGTCTAAAAATCTTAGGACTTATTTTTGATAGCAATTTAACATGGAAAGCTCACGTAAACCACTTGGTAAAACAATGCAAGCAACGTATCAACTTACTTAAAGTTCTGGGATCGAAAAACTGGGGAGCTAACCAAAAAATTCTAATGAATACATATAGAGCTATCACCCGACTAGAAATTTTAATGTAAGACCTATTGGGCCCGCGTTGGGTTTCCTAATAGGGACCGCACATGGGAATGTCACGCAAAATCCTATGCGGCCCTCATGGGGCAATTCCTTTTAGGTCCCAATGGGGAAATCCCCATCAGAACCCAATCTAAATTTTGAAAGAAAAAATATTATGATTTTCGAAAAGATTAAAAATAATTTAGGATCAGATACTCATATTATATTAGACCTCATTAGTAAATTTAATTTGAATTGAAATGAAATCGTTGATCGAAAAAATCCTTGTCGTGAGTTGGGCTCGAACTTACGTCCTTAGGGTCCTCAGTCCTTGACGTTACCGCTGGTCCAAGCAGAAGTGCGGATGAGGAAAGTTCCTATCTCGTATACATGCACTTTACCGGTTAACTGAGACATTATTCATGTTATGCTCAAGCTTTAAGAAATTATTTTTTTTTTTTATTTATCCACTTTACTGACGTGAAAATACAATTTTTGTATAAATTAAATAAAAAATTGAAAAATAAAAAAAAAAAATTTACCGAAAAATGTAAAAAAATTGAAAAAATAATATTCCTTAAAACTGTCCGATTTATTTTGGAATCCCCCTTATACGAACACAAAAAATTTTTTTTTGAAAATTAAAATTTTTTTAAAATCCAAGTTATTTTTTAAAATTTTATTGTATGGATAAAAATTTAACTATAAAAAAGTTTAATTTTTTTTACAATATAAATTCTTTTGCAAATGTGAATCCTCAAAAGTTGGATATTTTTCAAAAATTGAATTTTTACCTACTGATAATAAAAATTATCTTCTATTAAAATTTTTTTTTATACTGAGAAGAAAAAATTTTGAGTATAAATCTTGTTTCAGCAACATCAAAATGTATTTCAATCTAAAAACTCACACAGAAAGAAAAATTTCTTTACTGGAGAACAAAATTCTTGGCTCAAGAAAATTTTCGGATGCCTGAAGGAAGACCGAAGTTGTGTTGGCCGAAATAAAAATTTTTCTTGAAATTCTATTCTTGGTGAAAGTAATTTTTTCTTAATTCAACTTATCATAAATACTTGATAAATTTTTATATTAGATCATGATTTTTAGATACTTTAGGGAAGCAGCGCCACCTACTTCAGTTGAGAAAAAAATTTCCTCACCTTGAGAAAATTTTTCTCTTAAATATTTGATACCGAATTCGTATTATTTTAGCGTGCAATTATTCATTTTGAAAAAAAAAAAAGTGATTCAATATTATTTGATCTTCCCATTTGACATGTTGATCAATAAAAATATTAATGAAAATTTACATCTATCGAGATATTTAATTTTTTGGAGCAAGAGAGAAATTTTCTCAAGATAAGAAAATTTACTTCTATCAAGAACTAAATTTTTTGGAGCAAGAGGCTGAATTTTCTCAAAACAACAAGATTTTCTTAACTTAAATAAATTTTCTTGGATCAAGATACTTATTTCTTTAATAAGCAAAAAAAAAATTAATTTCATTGGAATAAGTGAAATTTCTTGTGAAAAAAATTGAAAAAAATTTTTTTTTTCGCTGAAGAAAATAATTAGGAAAGAAAAATGTTTTCTAGGCTCAAGTGAACCTTTTTTTCTGTGGAGTACTTGAATTTAATTTGAAATTGATTCCAAATTAATCTAGAATAACTCCGCTAAAAAAACTTCGAATTCACTCTACACGCAAATTGTTTAATTACTTTACTCCAAAGTCCCACACCGATCCAATTTGGGAGAACTTAGCATTTTTATTATTATTTTTCGTTGGGTTATCCCTCTTAGATCCCACTGGGGAAAATTTAGAAATTGTATTTTTTTTTCCGTTGGGTTATCCCTCTTAGGTCCCACACAGGACCCTATTGGGAAAAACTGAATAAAAATTTTTAATTTTGCGTTGGGATTTCCCATTTAGGTCCCACACAGGACCCTATTGGGAAAAACTGAATGAAACTACTCATTTTTGCATTGGGATTTCCCATTTAGGTCCCACACAGGGCCCTATTGGGAAAAACTGAGTGAAACTACTTATTTTTGCATTGGGATTTCCCATTTAGGTCCCACGCAGGGCCCTATCGGGAAAAACTTAGTAAAAATTTTTATTTTTACGTTGGGATTGCCCGATTGGGGGCTAATTAGGCCCTTATAGGGATTTCCCAATTGGGCGTGCCTCTTCGGGACCCAATCAGGTCCAGATGTATACGCTGGGTAATCCCAAAGTAATTTCTAGTCGGGCATTAGGTCCAAAGTCGAATATGGCATATCAGTGTATAGCTCGGCCAAAAAAAGTGTATTCAAACCACTCGAATCAATTCAGACAACATCTATCAGAATCGCCTTAGGAGCTTTTCGCAGTAGTCCTAATACAAGCCTCCTAGCAGAGAGTCACGAATTACCTTTTGAATTAAGAAGCTTAATCCAATCTCTGAGATATATGGCATCTAGTACATGTCACATAAACAACCCCCTGCACACAACAAATGATGATAAGTCAGAATCAGATAAAGCATACCGGCTCCAACCCCAATTCCCTCAACCTTTAACCTGCAGAATTCGCCAAGCAATCCAAGATCCATTACTTGAAATAAACAAAGTTCTACCGAGACGAAATAAGCCTATACCACCCTGAGAAAACTTTAAATTTCAAGTCGACTTCCACATCTTCAACGAAACTAATAATAAGAGCGACACAGCTAATATAGTCTACAAAAACCTCTTCTACGAGCTAATCAACAGATACGAAGGCTTCCAACACAACTACACCGATGGATCGGTCAAAGACAGTAAAAGAGGATGCGTTGTGGTATACAACGAACAAGAACAACTCTTCAAACTCCCAAAATCGTTTTCAATCTTCTCATGTGAAGCGTATGCAATCCAAAAAGCAGTCGAATTAAGTGCCAACCTCCAATTAGACAAAGTACTCATTCTATCTGACTCCAAATCAGTTCTCGAGGCCTTGAACAACTACAATACTAGAGACTCCAGAATTCAATCCATCCAACAAAAACTGCAGAACCGAGCCCAACACGGATACCACATAATACTCGCGTGGATACCGTCACACCAACAAATTACCGGAAATGAGAAAGCTGATGCTGCCGCCAAAAGAGCACTCCAAGAAGGTCAAGATCAAACTAGCGATCCACTGTCAATAAATGACTTCAAAAAAACCATAGACCAATACGTATGGGCAAAATGGAACGGTATCTGGAACTCGAAACATACCTCACTTCTAGATGTGAGACAAAATGTCTGGGAAAATCAACCAGAAATTAACAACAGAAAACATCAAAGTATCATAACAAGACTTCGAATAGGGCACACACGACTAACACACAGTCATCTTTTCTCCAAAACACCAGCAGCCGACTGCCCTAACTGTCGAGTTCGATTAACAATATCACATATACTGACCCAATGCAATACAGTAGACTTAAAGTCTAGAGGAATCCCAAATGACGTCAGAAAATGTCTCAACGACCCAGCTTCATGTGATAAAGTTTTAAAACTACTAAAAAATCGCAACATATATAATGATATATAAAATCTATAAACCCAACTGAAAACAAATCTATGTAATATACTATTGTAATTCTTCTTCTATTAATTCTCTCACTAAATGTATAATAATTGTAGTCGCTAATAGCCTCAGATGTTGATGCGACTTTAAACAAATAAATAAATAAATAAAAAGAATCAACTTACCATTTCAAAAGCTGATTTTGCATGCCATTTAAAGGGTCTCAAAAATTTTGTCAAAAAATAATCGTCATCGGGAACATTGAGTTCAGGTTCACCTTACAATAAAATGAAGTATTATTTTTAAAAATCTCGATAGATTCAGCTGAAACTAGATCTAGTAAAAAGTACATACTCAATATATATAAACGGAAAAACGAAAAAAACTTCATACAATGTTGATCAAATAACCAAACCGTTTAATATTTGTATTTTAAAAATATCGGATAAAAATTAACATCATTTAAAATAAAAGACGTTAATTTTAATGCAAAAATTTTTGCTACAATCTCTGGTTCATCGATAAATTTATTTATTTATTTATTTATTTATTTATCTGGTAAAGAATTCTATCGAGGTGTAAAGACACCTGTTTATAGAACCAATAATTATAATAGCTCATTTATTTTGAAAATAGTGGTTATTTAAAATTTTAAAAATATTAATATATATAACTTTTAGGAAAACAGATTTCATGAAAATAAAATTCTTTACTTCTCGAGGAGAACAAGAGTAGTTAGTTTCCTAAAATTAACTTTTTGTCGACCTAATGGATATTATCTAGAATCGAAAAAAAAAATTAAGGTTAAAATTGTCTCGGATAAAACAAAATTTTCTTAAACAAAAAAATTTTTACATCAGTCATAATTATTTTGAATTTCCCTAAAAGTTCACTCGTTTGAAGTAAGCTTGTTTTTCCGTGTGAAATTATTTTTAATTTATTACCTTGAAGTAATTCTCTTATTTCAGCCAGTCCCTTATTCACAGTGTGAATTGATTCGTTAAGTTCATTTTTAGCTTTTTCTAAAAGTTCATTGTTCGGAGGATCAAGTTCTAGTCTAAAAATGTACGGGCCCACTTTTAAGGGTTGAATTCTTTTACTTTTTTCATAAAATGCTTCATATGTTCCCAAACTTTGTGGTGTAATAACATCCATTTTGGAAAATATTATGAATCTTGATATTTCAACACTGAAAATCAAATTTAATTGATAAATAAGAATCTTAGTAGTAACATGACATAGCAATGTTCTTTTCGAAGAATATTCCAAATTTCGTAATATTACTTTCCACTTTTAGTAATTTTCAGTTTAATATTTACTATCGAAAACCAAGCACAGAAATCGAACCATTTATGAGAAGAACTGTAAGTCAGTAATATTATCACCACTAGAAAAATAATATATTTTAGCTTTTGCCTTCTACAAAATAAACCTTCTTTTTATCACCTGTAAAATAGTTAATTAATACTATAAAAAGTATATGTTTATGCTAATTGAGTATAATTTTCGAATAGGTCTAAAGTTGACTACACATCTGACTTACATCAATTAATTCAAAAATTATGCAAAAGTTGAACTCTTTTTTTTTTTGGCTTAAAAAAATAAAAAATTTAAGTTATAATCGTCCTAATATTATTGATATTCAAAATTGATTTGAATAAAAATCAAAATTATTAAACAAATCAAAAAAGTTAAAGTACCAAAGAAAGAGCCATTTATTCCGAATTTCAATAGCATTTTTCCATTAATTAAAAAATTAATCACTTTGAAAACATATTTTAAGGATAAAGAATTAAAAGTAAATAAATTAAGAATGTCGATTTATTTTCAAATACAATGAATTTATGTTAATTAAATATGATGTACGCTTGACATTAGACCTCACTTATCATTCTACTAAGTATTACATTTAGTATTTAAATAATTTAATTTAAATAACAAGTATGACTACTAAACTATAATGTAACACAATTAAGCGACCAAAGAGACCTGGCAATAAAAAATAAATCAATAAGAATTCTCATAAAATATAAGAAAGCAAAAAAAATTTCCAAATTTTTCGGTAATTTTTGACGAGTTGTATCTCAGTAAAAAATTATCGTAGAGACGATATAAAAAGCATTTTGCAGCTCTAGAATTCTAATTTTCCGATTTTTTGGCTAAAAAATTTTTGTAGCTACCGTTCTAACGTAATCCGAAGAAATAGCGCGGAAAAAAAAATTTTTCTTACTACGCTAGTCGAAAGTACGGGGTTCCCGCTGCGATTTCACTGCAGAAAGCCTCACATTTATGCCGTGGTCGAGTCGCGCATGCGCTCTACGACGGAGAGCCGAAAAAATGTATTCATGCACTGACAACGAGACACGAGGCGGCAGAAAGGCCAGAAAGTCCAAAAGTCGGTAGTCGCGCTCATTCTATTGCTTATGTATACAAGCCTAACCTTACTTGTGATTGTTATGAATGTATCTGTTTTGTTATGTATCAATGATTTTAGGTTGAAATTAAATTAGTTACAGAAAATGAATATTTATTTTAATGAAATGAGACTTGTTAAATATTTAAACTACAAAAAAAAAAACGAGAAATATTTTTTATTGTGATTTGTGATAGATATTTTCAAATATATAAATTCATTATTGAACAAAAAATTATTTGAAAAAATACACAAACAGATTTTTTTCTTAATTTTTTTTTACTTATGCGTTTTATGATTATTATTCATTTTTCTGTTTTTTTTTTTTTTTTT